GAAAATAACTTCACAGAAATCTGGATAACTAGTTAGAAATTGATTATTTTTCAATAGTTTCTTTTTTAGTTGATAAACAACATTATACAGCCCGCGTCGAACTTCGATTTTTCATTTTATTTTATATAATTGTATTAACTCTGCATGGAGCACGCGGATTACTATTCTAATCCATCAAAAAATAAATTTATTTATTGTATTACGGAAACCACTAGAATTATCTTATTTTTTTCAGTACCTTCGAATGAAATGTTACTTAAGAGGATGTCAATGCACTGTTCGTTTTCTCTCTCACTCTCTCTCTCTCTCATTCTCTCTCTCTCTCTCTAGCCGACGCGTAACACATTTGCACAGAATTATTCTATTTTTTTATGTTTTTGAGACTTAATTTAGAGTAAAATCACCTATGACAAAAATTATAAAGAATAATATATTCGAGGGAATGAGACATTTATTTGTCTAAATATTATCTCAAAACAATTTTAAACAACATTTAAATTTATAATTTTTTTTTTTTTATTATTTGAAAGTTGAATACTAAGTCAAATAATAATAAAAAAAAAAAACTGATATGTTGTACACTAATAAGGGAATTTTTCGAGCTTATAGTCCAAAATTTTTAAAATAATTTTTATTCTGAATGAAAATGCATATATGTACAATTTGGAGGATTATGTCGGACAACAACTAAAAATCTCTTATGAAATGAATAATTATGCGGAAATTGTTGTCAAAAAAAATATTTCAAACAGTGGAGTGTACTAGAAAGAAGATAACCATATATAACTGGTCCAATTCACTTCAGTGGTAAAATATTTGTTATTTAAAAAAATAATTGACGGCAGTGGGAACTTTAAAAAAAAAATAAAACATGTATTCAAAAAGAATTTTTAATTTTGAAAAATAGGGGAATAAATTTATCAATATTTGATTTCCAAAAAGACTGTACATCTTATGTCCAGAAAAAAATAAAATAGTTATACTGCTATCCATTCTGTATAATGAGTAATGACGCTTCTATCAATCAAAACACAGAAGATCAACAAAAACCAGTGATAATTATACTTTACAACCAAACCAACTACGACATTGATAGATTAGATTAAATGTGTAGTCTATATGACGTTTCAAGGAATTCTCGTCGATGGATTCTTACTATATTTTTTAATCTAATTAATATATTATCATGTATAAATGTATTAAATGTGTATACTTTTAATAAAATCAAAAAAAAATATAAAATATCAGACTTTTTGGAAACATTAGTTTTGCAGCTGATGAAACCGAATATTGAAAGGCATATTAAAAATTTAAAATTACCAAAACATATAAAAAGTCGTAGTATGAAAATTTTAGACCGAAATTGGTCGATGATATTTGTGTGGAAGATCAAAAAATTAAAGTACAAGGAAATTATAAGAACGTTGTTTTAAATGGATGTGTCTAGATAATTGCAATATATTTGCACTGAGTAGTCTGATTAACAACAGAGTGAAAAATCAACTTAAAATAACTCAACTCAATAAAGTTTATTATTTTTTCATAATTTAAAGGTTTAAAATGTAAAACATGTTTAAATATTCTTCATTTTTTATAATTTTTATCATAGAGAGCTAAAGTAGGTGTAAGATACTCAATTATTAATATGTTAAATGTTTGTAAAATAATATCATAAAAATTTATCAACATTAAGAATCAATAAAATTTAAGAAAACAAATTCTAATTAAGTGCTATGAATTCTCATTTTCTCATTTAAGTTAAACTTTATATTCTGAAATAAAGAATAAAAATATACATTTTCTGTTTATCTTAATGTTATTTATCAATATATATTTAGTATACAACAATAATTTAAATTGTTAATATTGTAGACTTAAAACTCGTTATAAAAAAAAAAAAAAAAAAAAAAAAATGGATTACAACTTTTGAAATAAAATATTGAAAAATAGAGTTTGATGCGAGTTGTATAATATTTCTCTCTATCAATAAAAAAAAAAAGTATATATAAAATTTGGTTGATTTAACGGAGTAGTATCGTTATTGCCGTAGACTGTAGAGTGTATATGGCATTGGCACCGAACGCCCCGAACAATATAGCGAAGTTTTTACGGTTAGAGAAAATATAATTTTGATGAATTCAAAGTTCCGTATTAATTCCTGTTTATGATTTATGAAGAATATTAACAAAAAAATTAAAGAAAAAGATGACCAAGTGAGTACTGGTCTGCTATACGATTAATTGATGTCGATTGGCACTTTAAAAGTTTTATGGCCAATGGTCTTGTTGAATTAGAGTTCAATGATATTATATAATTGTTTTCAGTAGTATATTAAAATGGATACGTGAGTATAAGCCGTATACTCATCAGCAGATTTTAAATTTTTGGTATAAGCCCAACGTAAAATATTATTTTACAGGTACACTCCTACAATAACTCGAAAAATGACTATTGTGGCGTCCTCTTAAATGTTTATCAGTCACAATCCTATTGAATGGCTTATTAATGTTTGTTTATAGATTTTCTTATAAATTATTGTTACTGCAATAATGGGTATAAGTTATAAGTTGAGGTTTACTTATTTATTAATTATCTATAAAACTATGAATAGTAATAATATTCAAAAAAATTTAATTTAAAAATCGTTTATTGTTTTGTCTTTTGAATATTGTGATGATATAACGTCGAAACAAAAATATGTAATATAATATGATAACAATGTTTGCCGAACGAGCATTGATACTTAACGTTACGGGTCTTTAATTTTATTGTAATACATTAGAACTTATAAGTTAATAGTTATAAACGTGGTATAAGAAATTAAGTTAATTTTTTCTAGCGTAATGACTAGTAAGAAAAAAATATTCAACGAAGTGAGAAAAAATTTTTAGGTTGAATATACATATTTTGGTAACGCGTATACCCATAAATATATTTACCAATACACCATTGATTGTATTCGTATATGAAAAACGATTCTAAACGAAGACGACCTGACAGTCTATTTCACAATATGATAATTTATATTTTTGTTTGATATAGCTACTGAACTAATTAATTTTGCTATTAGTAGATAGGTTTATTTAACTTTCTCCTGAAAAATTGCATTTATTATATTATTCATATTTATTTACCGTGAAACCTTCCCTAATGAACATCACCAAATAACACACAAATTTTAACGATCAAAAGTGTTCGCTATTCAAAAGGTTGTTGTTTTATAATTAATTTTAAATATGTATTCTATATATATATTATTGCTGTTACTGTTTTAGTGTTTTATAGTCAATACCACCTTACTATAAGACAATATGAATAGGTTCATAATACCAATAAACCAATTAAATCATTTTTAAATTTATAATATACGTAAAAGTTTTAACTTCCAATGATTAATATTTTTAAATAGTAGTAAAATAGTTTGTATCATTATAACATGTAAATTTGTACAAATTTGAACTTCATATATCCACAAAAAAAAATGTGATTGTAAATTTTTAGATTTTTAATTCCATTATGAACTACTTAAGAGAAACTTTATTCAATTTTCAAATCTTTGTTATGTAGTATTTATAAAAATTAAAAATTTTATAATTTTTTTTTCTTACACAATACTTTTAGTTTGAACATTTTTGTAAAATGTAGTTGAACATAAAATACATATAAAAAAATTGTGTCTATATATTTTTAATATTTTCATACAGATTAAAGAATAATTTTGTAGTACCTTGATTTAAAAAAAAAAAAAATTTAAAAAAAATGTTGACCGGGTCTATGATTTTTATCGTAACTTAATAAAAAAGTACTTTTTTAAATATCTATAAATAACTCAAAAAGAGACAAAATACTAAGAAAATTATAGGACACACATGAAACACTAACATAAATACTCTAAGAAAATATTTAGTTTATGAGGTTATTCATTTTTAAGTTACATTTAAAAAGGAAAATCCATTATGTCAAAAAATGATTTATCATAAACATTTCTGTTATCTTTTAAATTGTTTTATTTTTATCTGATTATTTTGAAAAATACAACTATATTAAATATTCTACCTGAAACAATGCTCAAAGTTGAAAATCGAACAATTTTTTTATCGCTTTGCTTAAAAATCAATTATATAATATATATATATATATATATTATATTCAATTAATTTGGTGTAAATTAAATATTATTTTTCTCTCGTAAGATGATTTCTTTTAAATTTAAAGACATTAAATCTTATGGTCCACCTAATTCCTGTACACTGAATATTCTATTACAACTATTATATGTATACTTTGTTTATCTGAGCATGAATAAAATATGTTCTTATCCCTCAACAGATAGTATACCGTGTTGGCTATTATATACAGATATGACAACCTTAATCACAATAAAAGATTAACCAACGTAAGGAATTCTTTACAAACAGTTTAGCAAAAATATAAATTATTTGATCAACGATAGAATTTTAAATTACCATTACGTCTTTTACTAAATCCCAAGATACATCAATTATTAAAAATGTATTTATAATACTTAAAAATATATGTAATTAGTTGTTTGCCTATACATACACAAGTGTACATATTTCATACACAAGGCATAGGAGCAATATAAATAGGTTTTACCTAATATATTACGCATATTAAATTTGTTGTATTTATATATTTATTCCATACACTTCACTACTCATTGATGTAAGTCATGAAAAAATTGTTACCTTGTAAATAATAAATATACACATTTTTCACATTAAAATCAAAAATTATATTATATATTGTGTTTGTCGTATTGAAGTCTTAATATACGATATGGTTGCGTCTATTATTTCAGGGAGGGGTTTTGAATGAACAGTTTATACGAGAACCTATATAGCTGTACAAGCACCTACGTTTAGTAGTAACACGATGGCTATTATGCACATTGCCTTTGTATAATATATATATTATAATACACAATTCAATTGATTTTTATTAAAAAACGTGACAGTTAAATAAGATAAATAGTTTGGTTTGCTTATGAAGTTGTTAAAATATTTTAATCTTCGGTTAAAGTATTAATTGGATAATAATAACTTGAATCCGAAATGAAGTAAAACGTATATTTGAGTTCAACGATAATCAAATTGGTTTAATTTTATAAATCAAATCTAAACGAAACTAATCGTAAGTCAACACAAAATTATCATTAATATATTATATTTTTACTTTTTATTTGTACCTTATTAGCGATATTTATTTTTATTTATAATACGCGATTGTAAACACAAACAAGTAAATTATAAATATAATTTATGCATTTATTTTTACGAATAACAGTATTATATTTAAATCCAATATAATAAATGTTATAAAATGTTTAATATATATGTCTATTTTCAATATTATAATAAATGACACAAAAAAATCACAATTCGTTTTTAAATGTAATAATTTTTTTTAATCACATAGCACTTTTAAAATTTCTCAATTTTTCTCTTTTCAGTACCTAAGTGTATGACGTATTTATTGTTAATTTACTATTATACCGCCGAATTTCATAAATCTAAATTGTAATTGTTAATAAATAGTTAACATTTTTTTGTATGTTTTTAATATCGATTAAAACAGGTGCTAGGTATTAATATATTACAATATATTTATGCATTTTTAACTTAGATACTAATTTGTTGATTTAAGTCAATGATTATTATATATTATATTTATATAATATATATTATATATATTATGGTTAGAAGTTATTTTTAATAGAACATTTGAATAAATTTTAACAATATTTTTAACTACTGTTGAGTTATTTTGACAATGATAATTATTTAAAAACATAAACATTAAAAAAAAATTTTTTTTACTTAAAATATGATACCTTTTAATGTCTTGGAAATTATTTAGGAATATTATAAATTAGTACTATCAACCGAGCATTTTGAAAAAACGATGTTTACCATTCTTTATATAAGTAAATAGTATTAATTTTTATATGATATTAAATATTTCAATACAAATATCAACATTTTTAAAAACTATGAAATATTCTATGCTGTTATGTAGCATTTTAAAACTAATCAACTTATTGATTTACCATCATAACGTGTTATTATATCGCTAGAACACAAGCTTGAATAAAACCACAGTTTCATACTCATAGTTACCCTATTTCAGGAAACCTACGATTTATTATTTCCTTTACCACCGCCGTACACTGCGTAACTTAATAGTTTCTTTCTTTCTCCCACATCTATTGAATAAATCATCACAAAATTTCTAAAAATCTTGAAGCAAGAATATAATTTGTTTTAATCAATCTTTTCTCAATAGCTTTCTAGACAGTCTTACTAGACTTTCCTGTCTAAGTTAGAAGTTAGACTTCTGTCTCACTTTTAAACATTGTATCTGGATTATAACAGAATTGTTTTTATGTGTATGTGTTTAGAGCTGTTTGCTTGAATTTACGTTTAATCACGGGTGTTAGTTGAAACGGTATAGTACATATTTTAGAATTTTAAATCTTAACAAATTGCTCAACTATTCGTATACATATTGTACAAAAATTACTTTTTGTAACAGCTTTTTCTTTCTTTAAAACTAGGTATAATCTTATTTCCCTATGTCGACCTAAGTAGGTAGAAGCCTTTTTATTCTAAACTACCACACCAGGGTGACGTTTTTTCTCTACATATAAATCAATATATTATAATGCTAATGTTTGAATTTAATACCATGATTGGGTATGTTTGGGTTTTTCTAAGATATAAAATATATAATATGCATCAACCTTTTCAGACTTCATAACAGCTTACATGTTTAAGCTATTACTTCGCTAAACCGAATAAATTTAATATGTTTATAGATTAAAATTAAAACTACTAAAATAAATCTCATTAAATTTTGAGTATTAAGTATTTTTTCGTTTCTTTATATTAATTTAATAACTATTTTTAAAACGAGTGCGTTTTTTAGCCTGGTGTAATCAGCAGCGGACACCGTTTGATATGATAACATTTTGGGAACCAATTAAATTGATAACTAAATATTATTTTATAGAATTTGATACGTATTAGATATTTTTTTCTCAATGCTTTATGCCATTAGATTTTTCGTAAATTTTACTATAAAATTCCAATTGTATCAGTTACTTAAAATTATTTAATAACAACAAAGCATATAAGATGCGTATGTGCGTTAGTAGGCCTTAAGGTAATTTTAATTATGATGCATATTATGTGCATTAGAGTTATTGAAAGTTTACCCTAATCTTTAAAAAATAGTTTATAAATTGATCCGATAAAATTTTTTTTTATTTCTATACAAACTATTTTAAATTTAATGTTAGAACTATGATTCATAACATACTATTATTTGTTTGACAAGTGGCGACAATAGGAATACAATATTAATACTTGTCTCGTATACTACTCAAGAATTTTACTATTATCATGCTTACTATCCAAATTTTAAGTTACTTACCAATTACTGTTTTCCTTAATACTTTTCTATTAAAAAATTATGATTATAATAGTCAAATATAACTTTTTTTAATGTTATACTCATCAAACAGAATTTTTCATTGAACTAATGAGTATTAATCTTCCCTCTATAACGCCATCAGTATCCATTTGTTACATACTACTAATTATCTCGAAACCTTGAAATTCAAATACGTGCACTGCAGTTTTGTCAATAATTACAATTTTTAATTACTTCTTCATAACACATGTATTATTCTAGTCAGCTATTTAATATGGTATTAAGTTCGTGTACTTACTATTAATTGTTTATTGGCTAAGGATGTATTGTTAAGGTGTTTAATACTGTAGCATTCATGTTGAAACAATGTTACAATATTAAAAACATTACGTTTGACATTGTGATCATAGTAGTATATAATAAAAAAAAATATTTATATAATTATGACCAGTAATTTTTACACTACTCGACATACTACGTTATAGTATTCAACACTATTAGTTGTGAATTAGTGTTTATAAAACAAGACTAGTATCAACATTTTTAGAAGTTATATAATAATTTAACATCAACACATCGAAATCATCACACATTTCGAGTAATGATTTTGATGTTATTGTTAAAATATTTTAGTATTAAGCAGTAATATACGAGTATATTAATTTTACACTAAAATATTTTTTATTAAGATTTCAGTAGTGCTATATTAGTATACCCGATAAATTTATTGGAAATATAAAAATGTTTTCATTATTATTTATGAGACATGGATAATTTGGTTTTATGTAGATGTTATACTATTTTTCCACATACACCACATTCACTACATCAAACTATATATCATGTAATAATTAGTAAACCCGTGTTTTATATAAATTTCATTGTATTTCAAAAAAAAATATATATCAAATATCATAATTTTATGATACTGCATTATTTTGTTATCTCATTGCATGAGTAGTTACGGCTGTCTTATTTCGTTTATAAACTCAGTACATATTTGATAACTATTAAATATTCTATATTTATATATACATATAGAGCTATTTTTAGCGAGCTTGCGTATAAAATCATAAATTATCTAAATTATTATCAGTCATAAAATCGGTGCACCGTAACTGCGCATGCATCGTGGCCATTTTGAAATATATCACCTTAACTTCACATACGAAGTTATTTTTTAACACCCTAACTCCGCACATAATTTTTTTATTCATGTGTACCTGATTCTCTCGAACAATTATTATCAACTCCAATTGTGTATAATTTTGCTTTACATGTTTTTTGTATGCATTTCCATCCAGTTTTACCTGATTTTAATTCTGTGTACTTGGAATATTTATAATTATTTTTCACTAACAGCACATTTTATATAAAACTTATTTCACTTGCCATTTTTAAATGTAAAAGTAAAACTTTATAAAATAAATTTGTAATCTAAACCAACTAAAACTGATCAGTGATCACTGTCAATTCGTTGAGTTACAAAGACACGAGAAATTAATCAGTACACAATAATGATAAGATATTGCTTTGCAGATATAATAGTTTAATTTCAACATGGTTTTACGCCGATATAAGCATGGGAATTTTTGGTGTTAAAAATATTTTTAGAATGCGGAGTTACGCCGCGTTCATTTTTTCGACCGCGCGGAAATACGGTGCATGCGGAGCTACGGATTCACAAAATATTTTTATTTATGCGGAGCTGTGGTGCGTCCCATAAAATAGTGATAGAATTATAAAAAAAAAATCATTACGTGTTTGTCAAATACACTAGTCTACAATTTATTTTATCTGAGTCCTATACTACGGGTGATACCTAATATTATTTCGGAATGTTAAATAATAATATACAATTACTTAATAAGACAATCTGTTTTGAGATGTATGAAAATAAATGATTGACTATATAATGAAATAAATCATAACATTCCCATACATTATCATAATTAGGGTGCGGATTTATATGTATTTATTTTTATTCAAATATGTAGTTATAAATTTAAGATATGTAAAAAAAAATTATCATTGTAATTATTAATTAATAATTATATAAATTAGTAAAGTAAACTACTATTTATATTACTATTTATTAAATATTATGATCCTCATCGTCAGCAAAACAATGAGCAACCATGTACTTTTTTAATTTTTCTAATGTAAATCGACGTCAATTGGGGCGTAATATGTTCTTATTTTTATCCGAATTTAACAGCAACAACGGTGATTTTTTCAATATAGGGGAATACTTAACAAAAATATGTAATAAAAGTAAATTATGTAAGAATATATAAAAAAGCTCGAATATGTAAAAATATGTACTATTAACCATGGCTTAAAACATTCAGATAATTCTGAAATATATTTATATAGAAGAATCGTTCGATTACCATCACTCATGACAAATATGTATTTACATAATAATTATAAATCCGTACCCTAGTCATAATATTTGTCAAAATTATAAATTTAAAAAAAAAAAAGTAGCACCAATAGTTGTTTGTATAATAAGCATACATAATAATATTAATGTTATTTACAGGATTATGATGAAACACTATCCCTGTTTTTTTATACTTATTTTCACTCGAATATTCGGTCTTAGAATATATTTTGATAATATTTTATATGTTTAAATTATGGAATTTTTTTTATAGATTTAAGAACAATGTGGTTTGAATGCATTTGGATAGCATTAATAGCTATAGCTATAATAACAAACAATAGTGTATCTCATGCTCAAAGTCAAAACACTAGTGAATTTAATATAACGCACCCAGAAAATGATAAAGTTCAGAGAGAATACAAAACACTAAATACAAAAAACATTACAAAAGTTATAGATAATGGAAACAAAATTAATACCCAAACAATATTTGGAGATATTATTGCAAATAGCATGAAAAATTTTTTACCTTTTTCTAATGTCAATGAAAATTGTACTAAAGATGGACAACATTTTGTGAATAATTTAAATAACCAAACACTATGGGCTGTTAAAAGTAAGTAAGCTACAACTAATATAATTTAAAGTATTTTTCAATTCACTCTAACTTAAATCAGTATAGCGAAGTACATTACTTTTAGGTAGATAGAAATAAACGAGAAAAAACGCAATGTGACATTTCACACTGTATCATAAAATATGAAAAAATAAATGTTATTTTGAAATTTAAAAACAAATACAAATTCAATTACCTACTTATCTAAGTCTGGAAATATTCATCTTTCAATATATGTAACATCTTTAAAAATATAATATACCTAGTATAATTATTTTTTATTATAAATTTAGCAATAATTTAAAGAAATTTAAAATATTAAAAATACAGTCATTTTTTTTTTAATAATCCCAGAAAATAGCTTTCCATGTATTAATAAAATTTGAACTTCAAGTGTAAATTAAAGATTTGTCTTCGAACAATTTTTTTATTATTCAAAAAAATGTAATCCTAGAGACTTGAAAATGTTTACCATTACAAAAATTATAATTTTCTATGCACATTATTATTTTCAAAATATTTAAAATAATTTTAAACTATTAATATAACATAATCTATCAACATCATTCTAAGGTACGTCAATGTTGATAATATATTGAGTTTACTAGTATTTGTAAACAAATAACAGTTATATATGATTTAATATTTAAGATTATTTTGTAATATGTGTCTGAACTACCTAATGATCGCTACAGTATGGTTTTATTAAAAATTAATTTTAATTACTATTTTATTAATAAAGAAATATAAATATATAAAAAAATAACTTTAAAATAAATTGACATTCAGCTTTCGGTCAAAATCGTTTTTGAGACAATGATTTATCATTTAATTAAAACTCAACATATTCATTTAAATACCTTAAGTTTTTTTTTTATTGATCGCAAAAAATAACATTGACAATAAAGGCTATTAGTTACAAATAAGATTATTCAATCAAAACTAGGTACATTCAAAACTTTTATACATCAGAGAAAGTTATTTTTCTTATTTATTTATATTTTATTTAACACAAGGCCCTTATTAAAGTTCTTAACGAAAAAAAAATTTTATCGGTTAAAAAATAATATTTTTATATTCAAGGAATAGATGGACAACGTATTTTTTTAAGCCTATATCTATACTTATTTATTACTTATTTATATTCATATTTAATTTAATGATTTTATAATTCTTCATTATTGATCAAAAAGCATTAATATTTATGGAAATATTTTTTTATTTTTTTTTATTTTTAACTCAATTTGAAATCACCATGAAAAGAATTTATGAAAATAGTTATTTTATATTATAATGTTATTATCGTTTTATATGTTTTTAACTTTTTTTTGAAATATGGCAACTTTCTTTATTTCATATTTCAACGAAGAATATTTGTTTTTGTTGAGAATTTAAATATACAACAATCTGAACAATCAAAATTAACAAGAATACAGTATTAATTATAAGTGGAGGAAAGATTTTCGCATTATTTTTTTTTTTGTTAACGTTTTGTGTGCAAGTACACAATACATTTCTCAACGTCTATGATCAATTATTCAAAGATTTTAGTGCATATATTGAAATTTTTATGTTTAAAGAATATATTTTTGATTATAATGTATACAAACATGTTTTAAAAGTTTATCGAAAATCAAGCTCTTAGCTAATTTTTTTCCTTAACCAAATTTATTTTATTAAACTGTGAATTTTTCATGAAGACGTTAAAAACTTATTTTTGTCCTAATGGTTAGTGAGTAGAATTAATTAGATCTGTATTGGCTGTTTTAGTGTTTATTTTGTACATATGAGTATAGGGGTACATAAAAAATGGAATAAATTTATAATTTATAAGTGTTTAAAGGTTTTAAGAAAAAAATAAGTTGAAACTGGGTTACACCTTAAATTTTTGGCGAATACTTAACTTATCTAAATCTTTAATTCGTATAACTAATTGACTACACGTTTGAAGTTTGATATTTTTATTATTTTTACTTTTTAACTACTTTTAAAATCCTAAAAAGTACATACTTGAATAATTTTAAGAATTTAGCAAAAATTATTTTACTGTACAATAATTTACCTAAAATAACTATTAAACATACCTTTTTAGATAATATTTAAAACTTAATAAAACAGTTACTTATTAATTTTATTTTTTATACTTCTACAGGATATTAAAATGTAAGCATATAATATTTTTAATTGGATTTATAACATTGAATAATTTATATATAACCATAAATTAGTTCATTTTTTTTTTTTATTGAAAACTTGTTAATAATAATTATTAATTTAACTAATAACTGACACATATTATTCAAACAATTTGTATTCAATTATAAGCTATATGTGTTGCCTATACAAATATATTTATGGCAAATATTCAAATAAAAAATCAAGAATAAAAAAAGTATTCTATTCATTCCTTGTTACGATAAGCGATTCTTGGCTGTAGCGATAAATATCTAAAACAAAATATACTAATTTTATGAAGGTGATAAATGGAGTTTTCTTTTCTCTCGCCATTATAAAATAGCCATCATGAAAATATTTCGCAAACAAATATATCAAAATAGAAATAAATTCCACAAACTATATGTATATAATAAAAAAAAAAAAAAAAACTATACGTGACAATTATTCAAAGGAGAGTTAATTAAACCAAATTAAATAATGAAGTTAAAATAATTCAATAAGATTCAAAAGAAAAAGAAAAATATTACACAGTATTCGGCATATGCGCGTAATACTACTATGTATTAACTTATATATATATATATATATATGGAGCTCAGTATTTTCCTTAAAATGTAAATTATACGTCATATTATGAAATAATATGTTTCTTACAATATTCTATTTACGCTTTCATATTTTAATGCAAAATGTTAGACTGTATAAATATTAAATTGTATTTAATTTAAAAATAAAAGTATTTACTTAGTTAATAACATATTAATTATTAATCAGCTTACATACCTACCTTCAATATTATGAATATTTAATGAATTTATTCTATTTTATTTCTATTTAGCAATTATTACCTATTTAAACATGTTCTTGCATTATATAAAATTCCATATTCGTATATTTTATATGTTCAAAATTTACGAAGACATTAGTACCATAAACAACACGAACAATATTGTATATTAAACGAAGAACAGGGAGATCACTTATATACAATATGTTGAGTATTAGTAGAGCATATTTATAATTTATATTTTGTTAATATTTTACGATAATTTTATTTCTTTCGAAGACTTAATAATCAATAATATGTTTTGTTATTAAAAAATGTATATTCACAAAAATTTAAAATTTAAATACGAGATAACATAACTGATATACATTTTAATATTATTCAGCAAAATATTACTTCATCACAAACAATTGTGTATATATTTATTTCGAAAGGTATTGTAAAAATAGTTATCATAACAATATCGTTTAGTCATTGTGACGTATAAGTGTATAACTACAAAGTCCACTTTTTAATTGTAATATTAACCACGTCTACATAACATAATAATATAATAACTTAAATCGAATATTGCTGTCAAATAGATTTAAATATTAGTTACGATAAACCTAAGCTAAGTATTAACATAATCTAAAATACATAAATGTAAATTTTTTACTAGAAAAAATGTAATCATATTATAATGATAAATCGATAAATTATACTAAATATACCAAACTGTAGATTTATAATAAACTTTTTTCTAAGAGTAACAATATTACATAAACGTTTTATAGTTATTTTATACATTTTGTATATATATATATATATGATTTATTATATTACTTGCACGTTATATAATATCATAGCTTATGTATTTTTATACTTTATTGATAGAAATCATAAAATATAGTATACATTTATAACCATATTACTATTGAGTATAAGAAAGAATAACCGAAAAAATAATCGTTGTCACTTTGAATGTGTATAGTGTACACTTCTTCATCTAAATATCCTGGATCCATTTTATCCGGTGACATCAATGAACTTGGATACTTTGACCAATGCATGCGCGTGTCATCAAAACGTCACGGGATTCACGGAGCGTACGCCTTAGCGAACGTACGGTTTTACTCAACTGCAGAAAACAGACCTGCCGAACAGCTCCTCGACCAATTCGACATAATTAAAGCAGATTGGGAACGATCAAAAGTATGATATTATGTAATAATATTATAAATTATGTGTACTGCTAGGATGGCGCGTGAAAATGACCAACGACAACTTCGGAAATCATGTGTTAAAATTTAAACCGATTTCAGAGGGACGCGTTGGCAGTAAGACCAGAAAACCTATTATGGGCGTTATGTTTTCCAGACTCGTGTACCAACGAAGACATACGATTATCCATCGATCGTGCGTTGACACCAGCTCTCCAGGCGCGCAATATCAGCATAAACGTCGCAGTGCCGCCGTTGATGTACACCTCCAAAAACACGACGATGGAGTATACCAATTCAGTTTTTATCATTTAGTGAGTATATTATTAAAACATCATCAAAATCGCATAAAGAACGGCACTGCAGATCATGATAATTGGCTAATAATAGTAATAAAACATGTACGTTAGATCGGTTGAATTAACGCTTAATAGATATCTCACGGATGCAATAAACATAACATTTCCAATTTAATATTATGTCCCACGAGAATGATGACTTCAGAAAAAAAATAATAATACATAAAAAAAAAAAAATACTTACATGGTACAATTAAGCACAAAAAATGTATATATTATTATAAGTACCTATCTGTATAATTCGTTTTTGTAAGCTTTAGATTTGGTAATTTCTTGACCACTAATTGTATGTCATGATAAGTCACAACGAGGGGCGGCAGTTAACATTTTGTTCGTGTGCCCCAATTTATTATTCGTATATCAAATTATTACATACTTGATAGTTGAGATAATGTTTTCGGAACTAATTTTCCGAAGACACAGTTTCCAGTTGGTCACTCACGACTAAGATTGTTTCGTGTTTCATAGTGCAATATTTACCGTGGGCTGTGCATTGATGACCGTCGGGACGTTATACGGTTTATTTGCAGATCACTCGAAATTCGGAAAATCTACTCTTGCCAGTAAGTTTGGAAATGTGAATAACTATCCAAAATATACATGAATATTGTATAATCTTTCTTAATGTCGTAAAATGTAATAAAAACTACCTAATATCGTTATATTGACGTTTTTGACGTTTTAGGTAAGTGCTTACATTCATTTTCAATAATAACAAATATGAGAAACTTAACGGAAGATTCAAAAACCAAAGACTTTGCCGTAACCAATGGACTTAAAACTTTGGGAATATTTTCCGTGATAATCGGTCATAGAGTAGCTCTAAACTTAGGAATTCCATCTTTTGATCCAGAATATTCCGAACATGTATGGACAACTATTAATATTTTTATTCCTAATAATCAATTTAGAATGAGTTTACTTTGTTTTTATTTTTAAGATTTTTACCGATTTTTGGTGGTCGTTCCTCAAGTCTCCAGTTGCAGTTGAGATATTTTTCATAATAAGTGGATTTTTTACATACATCGTGATCGAAGAGCGTTTAAGGAATGGAAAACCATTAAAGTTTATATTCTTAATAATTTATCGAATAATCAGGTATTGAATCAATGTCATTCACTAAAATTTTAATAACATTTAACATCTAATCTTAAGTGATAGTTGATCAGTTTAGGATCGAGTATATTATATATTAATTTTTTTAGAAATTTAAATAAAAACTTGATAAAAGGCAGAATTTGTACAGAAAATAAACATTTATTAATTTTCAATGACGTCAAAAATAATATTCAATAATATGGAAAATAATATTATATTATAATGACAACCAAACAGTTATTTATTATTAATAAAATTTAGAAAACTTAAGTCAAATCTGTTCATATTTCGTTTTTTATATTCATTCAACAATACAATTATTTTCCGAGAGATAAAACATGTTTATGTTATTTTGATTAATAACATTGTGAGACAAATCAAGTATCTATACATAAACAACACTCTACAGGTACTTGAATTGCAATTCAAACTTAACTTATCAAAAATTTTACATGGATGTTTTAATAACTATTCAAATTTTTCATGAGCTATAGCTATATAACATATATTGAGACTAAAATCAAGATGACTGTTGAAAAGTAAAAACCCCATAGAATAATTTATTGTAATAGTTTTTATTTTTATCTAATAACGTATGAATCACAAAAGTATATAAATCATTAAATGTTAAAAATAAATAATTATTGTCCAAGAGATTACGTTAACAGAATTATCCAATTAAATAAGTTACGTATACTTAAATTGAATTATTATATAAATGTATATGGTTATTCCTTGATAATTATTAAAACAATATTTTATACAATAATTTTATTTTATTTTATAAATCAATAAACAATAAGGTTGATTTGATTTAAACGAAATTGCTTATCATTTAAAATGTTATTGTTATATTTATTTTGTGTATTTAATATTTACAGAAATGAGAATATAATAAAATGTGTATTTATTTAATTTTTAGAATTTACCCAATGTATATTACTGTTATTGTAATATTTGCATTTATTTTGCCTTATATGGGTGATGGTCCATTGTGGAAACTTATCGTTTACCCCGAAGCTGAGTTTTGCCGGAAAAACTGGTGGACCAATCTATTATTTATAAACAACTATGTTCATTCAAACGAAATGGTAATTATTATATTTTTTATTTGTAAAGTTATTTCTTATTAAATCTTAATCATGTATTTAAATTAAACGTTTCATTTTTGAGTTACTATATGAATTTATTTAATTTAAACAAAACTATAGTGAATCTATTACAGTAGTAGGTATAACGCGTGTGTAGTTACAAATTTTTAATATTCAAATGCATTCAACATTTGTGTAAAATGTTCATAAAAAAAAAAAAAAAAATAAATATATACAGTGTGTTTCATTAAACATATCGACAGATCCATAATAATGAATTTAAAAGATTGACATGCTATGACATACATCAATTTATTGTGGTGACTTAAGCATTTTAGTAATTAATATTATTCTACTAACACATATTTTATAGCTTATAAAAATTATACAAGGCTAATAAATTTTATATCAATCAAAACAAAAAAAAAATAAATAAATAAAATAATAAATAACTATAACCATTATAAAATTAATTATTTCGCTAATGCCTTCACTAAAAACCATAGTAGTTTATTACCAAATTCTGCTTAAGCAATAAAAATTGAGCATATTTCAACAATAACATAATACAAATTTAATCAATTGCTTATATCCGAAATTCGTTGTTAGGGGTACCAGTTAGAGAAATTCAATATATTTTATTATCTATCTAATGTTAATATTATTCAAATGTTACGGTTGGCAGTGAGATACTAGCTGAATTATCCGCGGCCAATGCCGTCTGCTGGTTTAAAGTAAAAATAAATATATATGAACAAATAAGTCTACTTAGGAGTAAATAGGTTTTGTTATATTGACTGAAATCTGAGTTTGAGTATCTAGTTACCAGTTATTTTTGGTGCAAATCTAATCTGGTTGGATAATCCATTTTATCAATAAATTAATAATGACGTTGTTAATATAAAACCAGTTAAAATATTGAAACATTTATCCAAAAACACTCTTATTCTGTAGAGATAACAAAATGTAATGTTACATTAATCCCTTAGACATCGGAAAGATATTTTTGTCTAAGGTATGCATTTTCCTCGATCGAAATAATATTTGTACCTAATTTTATTTCCTGATAATTTCAGAACAATATTGCGTAAAATGTATCAATAATTTATTAATAACAAACCGTAATTAAATTAATACAGAATATCAAGAAACAATCGGATTAAAATATATATATATATCATTAAAAAATATAAAATTTTAATAATTTATCGTTTTTTCTTTAAATATGCAAATAAAAATGAGTAACTACACATGAAATAAAAAATTTATTTTAATTTAAAATAGTTTATATAAAATTACTTAAAATGTTCAATGAATATAATATATTTATAAGTTGAAATATAACTAAGGAGAATTAAAATTCGGAAAAATGATCAGGTTTAATAAAAAATATCTATCACAACCAAAATTATATTATTTATGTTACAAAAGCGTTAATTACTTATAATAACAATCATCAATATTTTATGAAATGCAAACGCTTGCATTCCGTAAATTACACTTCTGATTAGATTGAATAACTATTATTATTATTATTATATGAATCAATAATCTATCAAACCTTTATTGTTTAATTATAATGTAAAACTTAGGTATAATATTATTAAATTCCTAAAATTATAATGAATACATTTTTGATTTAATTGTATACCTTTAACCTTGGCTATAGATCACTTAATACTCGTTGCCTTTTATACATCAAATAACATGGTGTTTATTTGATTTTTTTTTTCTACGTCGCCTGTGGTATTATCATGGATTGAACTTAATAGTATGTTTCATTTATTATCGTTGAAGAATAAATTAATGATTACTGTCATTTTGACGAATTAAAAAGTTTTCATATTCACACACTACGCATGTTTGATTTACAAGTCACTTTAAAAACTTAAATGAAACCATGATTTAAATTTGAATTCCGCGGTAGACTGTAAATAAGCAAAACTAGTTTTGTCATTAAATCGCCTCCTCACTTACTGGCTACTGAGTATAATGTAAATTTGCAATTATTCACTGGTGTAAATTGACACCCAGACACCGGAAATTATTTACTAAGTTACTATCATGCATAGCTTTTAAGATCTGATGAATGATGATTGACAAGGAAAGGTTTTGTACGTTAAAGTTTATAATAAATTCAAATTTTAAATACTTAATATATTTGTTTTTAATGATATAGTGATTTTAAAAATGTTTAAAAATGAGAACAAAAATATATTTATAGTCCTTTTTATAACATTTTATTACATTAGTACTATGTTGATGATTTAGTTATAAGCTTAATAAACCTAAGGTTGTAAATTTTTAGTCAGCACTTAATAATTATTACCCCTGGTAATAATATCATGCCACATTTTTAATGTCGTACCTAAGTAAATACACTATAAGATAGTTGACGTATTTAAATTAGTTTACGTTAAGCCATATCTGCATATACAGACATACAGTAATAGATACATAATATCCAATAAAATGTTTAAATGATAGTAATATTTTATCACCTAAAAAAATAAAAGTATCCAATAATAATTAAACCTTATGGTATATGATATTGCATCTCTATATATGGCTAACGATACTGACAATTTAAAGTACTTAATATAATTTTTTTTCTTTTACAAATTAGTACATGAATCGACAACATACTGAATATTATACTTAATTCTCTATCCAACAGTTTAAACGCGGAGACTGTAGGTGTACACTTCGATCTAACAATGCCCTTCATATATGCTACCTAGTTGTTCAAGTTCAACCGGAGTGGTTTTTACCATGACGTATGATATATCTACTCATTGTATATCATACTATCTTACATTTATATATATATTATTATTGATACCGTCAACTCATTCAAAATGCAGATGATACAGTGCAATCTATTCAAACTAGGTTCTAGATTAATAATTATAAAACAATAATTTTTAATAAATTATTAATACTAAATAAGTTTTTTGCATACCTAGTAGTATTGATTTTAGAATAATAATAAAGTAAACTAAAACATAATATTATACAGAAATGTTATCACCACAATAATTATTTTACACATCCATACAAATTAATGACCATAACTTAAATATATTTAAAGTTGTGTTCCTCTATGTTTATATTACATAGTATATATTGTATAAGTACTAATGATACCTATGTTTATTATAATAATTTAATGATACAATTTTCAGTGTATGGTACACGCGTGGTACTTGGCATGTGACATACACTTTTTTATAGTTGGAATTTTCTTGACCTATATTGTATGGAGATGGAATAAAGCCGGTGTTGTTATTTATGGAATTCTCTTTGCTATCTCTATCTATATACCTGCAAAATCAATTTATGATAATAAACAATGGGGAGTAATGCCATACTTTCATGGGTAAATATGTCAATTTCACTTGAAAAATTGTGTAAATATTAATATTGATCTTATTAAATATTTAGATATAAGTTAATAACTTTCGCATTTGATGCTATAACAAGAATTTCATAAATAAAATGTATTAATTAATTATTTTATATGAAAATATTTTAATTAAAAATACTAAGTAAAGTAATAGTATTTTAATCTGAAAAAATGTTCATTGAAAATCTTTAAAAAAATATATACTTCCACATTATGTTAAAACAATGTTTCTTAACAATAATGCCATAATATTCTTTCATTTCTAATTTGAATCTACATTACGTCGTTACGGCAGTTAGCATAATATTTTTGAATTTTTAATAAAAGCATTAGTATTGTATTTTCAAAAATGATTTTAATTATTTTTAAAAATAATTCTTTAAATTATGATTTTATAGTAATATTAAAAATCTCAGGACAACTGAACATTTTCAAACAATTTATATAAAAAGTCATCATAGGATCACTACATACCTCGTTGGTCTGGCAGCCGCTTATATATACTTGCATATAAAACAATCAAAATTCAAATTTTCAGTAGTAAGTAATGAAAAAATAACATTGTCTTAATTAAATCGATTTATTTGCATGATCAATCTTTTTCTTTATTTTTAGGGAAGTAGAATAATAGGATTAATTACATGCACATTGTTACATACAGCTTGTTATATTGTTACCGGCTACTTATACTTACCAAGCCTTACGTACAATCCATGGAATCACATAATTTACTTCACGTTCCAGAGAATTGTATATTCGTTGACTATATCGTATTTGCTTGTCGTCAGTTCTTTATCTAATTTCGGTAAATATAAATTAATGTTATCCTACTTAAAATTGTACAAAACTAAAAATATTGAAGAAAGAACTTAATCCAAAAAAATTATTTAATACTATTCTAAACAAACGTAAAAATGTCAATTGTGGTGTTATAATAAAAAAATAAAATCAATTTGTCACACTTACACGATCATACATTTTTAGAACGAACACTTACAATATGTCATATCTATGTAAGATATTTTACCAACATAATGCGTTTAATTTGTTTGCTTATGTCAAAAGTATTCATACAACTTAAAAAATCAATTTAAATATTGTAATTTTACAATTTTATCATGCAATGGTTTTTGTTAAAATATTTGAAAAATATTAAATGTTATCGCTCAGAATTGTTGAAAACACACTGCAAATAAATAAATGCATTCATATAATATTTGAACAATTATATTGTAACATGACATACAACCCCAGTATTTCGGTTTTCGTTATTATTTAGAATTATAATAATATGTGTGTCCATTACTATGAATCTGATAATCATTTATATTTCCGTTTCAGTTTATTTAATATTTACGAATTTTAATAAAATCATAAAATTTATGTTATGAAACATATTGCTAGCAAAGCCGCCGGTCATAATCAACGTACGACGCGGTCAATATATAATTTTTTCTGTCTCGGTCTTTCGTCTAAACTCTAAAGCGTATATTCTACGAGACGTCATGGTTCACGCGAGATTTTTCGTCGTTTATGTATTGTTTCATTTAATGATCTTGTTGCCTTAAACGTCACCATAGAGTAGTCACTAATCGACCTAATGTCTTTTAGTTTTCTGTGACTCTTATATCCGCCTACCGTGCAATGTAGGGGTAATTATTTGGTTGTTTTCCACGGGTTAATAAAACGCCCATTGTAGGTAACCGCAATTTCAATTTCATTGATATGATTTAAAGCCTGTTCTTGTTTATTATTATTTCTCAGTTCATGTAATAATATTATTGTACTAATATTATTACTGAGTATACTAATTCTTATCATGTAGCCACAAGATTTACATATCGGCGATGATAAATACGAATTGTAGGTTTCGTGTTCCTGCAGGCTCTAATGTTTTATAATATAATGTATTACGTAAACAGTAAACGTCTCGTTGCGTCATACCGACAGTTATAATTATTATTATTATTACTATTATTGTATAGATTTATACGGCTTACCCATGTAATCTTCGATACTATAATAGCATCCTTGTTTTTTCTTCTATCACCGTTTATTAACATATTATTAAAATAACATTCATTTTCCTTAAACTCGCACTCACTCATTATCGATAAAAAAAAAATAAAAAATCAAAAAAAATCAAATCCCTAGCATTCTACCGGTAGCTGAAAAAAAATATTTTTTAAGAATTACACCTATTAAACTTTTTTAGGATTAGAGTTTAGTTGTCACGTCATATTGATTTAAATTTTAAACTATAGCTGTATATAAATACAAAATGAACATACCACCTTCTGGCTTCTACGCAGTAAATAAATATATTCAAATTATTCATTAAAGAAATAATTTTATCCTATAGAAAAAACAAAATATTTCCCAGGTACACGATTATTTATTTATGTTTATTTTAATAGACATTATTAATTATTAAGTACCGTATTACACATTATTATGTCCTACATTTTTTTTTTTTTTTAACATAATGTCAGATACATATAATTTGAACAATATATTGTTATTATAGTACACTATATTTCAAGTATTTGAATAAAATAATAATAATAATAATAAATATTTATCTTTTTTGATGAATTATCAGGTAAGATAGAAATAATGGATAATACTTTATTGTTATATCTGATCTCGTAATATATATTTTATAGTAAAAATAAAAATTATAACTGCAAAACCTATTTGTGCAGAGTATAGACTACAGAAAACATAGAATTAAATTAACTTTATTGTACCTCATCGGATTTGGCATTATAATATAATACATGGATTATTGTAAAATAATTAATGATAATGATTGATATTAAAATTATTTTTTAGTTAGTATTTTGCTTCTATTAATTACGTTAGTCAGTTGTGACTTGTGAATTTTATAAACTGTATTCATTTTATCACTATTTTTTATTGTTATATGCTTAATACATTATATCTCGCTTATTATAATATATTTTAGACTAATCAGCAAGAATAATAAATATTTACTATAATATATTTTTTTAGTTATGATAGTTGATAGTTGTTTAAATACACTTAATTTGAGGTGATGTTAACAAATAACTTCCTCCAAATAACACAATACAATTTACAATTGACTAAAACAAAAATATTTTCAAATAGGTTTTGTCAGCAGTTTTATTGAGTGTAAACTTTTCACTGTAATATCAAGATTATCGTACGTTCTGTACCTGACACATTTTATTGTTCAGTTACAAAGTATTGGTCAAATCCGTCAACCACAATATGGAAACTTTTGGACATTGGTAATTCTAAAATATATTGTTTATGTTGAAAAATTTACCATTGGACATTAAACACTAATTAATTTATTATTTTGTTTTTATAATAAGTATTGGGAAATTAATGCCGATATAATAACAGCTCTGTCGTACTCTTTATTTTTTAATCTAATTGTAGAAGCACCATGCAGAAAAATATTAAAGGAATTTATGAATATATTTCTTAAAGGTATATTTTGCATATTAATAGATTACGTATTTCACATTTATTAACATCCAAAAATGAATTTTTTTAGCTGGAAAAGAATCGGACACGGAAGAATCATAATGTTCATGGTGGGAGTAATACTCAAACATTAAATGCAGCTATTTCATATTTTAAAAAAGCTTAAAAAAATTAAACTAAATGCCTTTTCAATATTATATTGTAAAATCTTAGTGAACTTTTAAAATGTATAATATATAATGTATTTATTTTACCTACACGTATATATGGTGCTAGAGTAATAAAACAGTGCGAATTTGTTTTAATGGAATACATTTATATATATATATACATAAATTAATTTTATTTAAGTAATATTAAATATTTACATTCGTTGAATTAATGTACATCACATTATTGTATTGTATTACACTGTGTGTTGTAGTACTAATTTTCACTATACAATCAACCATAAAAAACATAATGATTGAAAATTAAAATATTTATATCATACATTTTATAATTATTTAATAATACATTTTATTTTGATTTTCTGTAGATGAAAATTATCACAAGTAATTTATTTAAGTCTCAATGCATATTACAGTGACATATTTGCAAAAATAATGGATTACCTTCCACGCCTTTTCTTTTATAATTTTGCATCTCAAAGAAGTACAAAAATAGTATTCATATAGATAATAATTTTTATAATATAGAAAAAATACACTGTTTATAATATTTAAAGTAAGTATATAAATGTTTTTACAACGGGTGACGTCAATATCTAATTAATGTTTATATTATGCCCAATGTTAATTTTGAGAAAATAAACATGGCATATTATTAATATACATTATACATAAATATTATAGAACTATAATATAATATGTACAATTATGGGTACCATAATTTTATTATAGTGGCTATTTTCTCTAGCCTAATCTAATACCAATCGATCGTGCAAGGATAAAATTATTCATTTTCAGATAATCATAAACCGATAATGACTCAGAAAAATAAACACTAAGGTATCAAACATATTATTTTATCCTATTAATTATTATCCTTAGTATTAACATTTTAATAACTAAGAAACTACTCGTGCTTGTTAGAATTTTGAATTGGGCACACCAACGTTTAAAAAAAAAGTTTGTATTATCATTTATCACATATAACACATTTAGTAGCACAACAAAAAGTACAAAAATTTTAAATATTTTAAATTCTAAAAATCCGAATTTAAATGAATTTTTTATTAAAACAAAAAATAGAGTGAGTTTAATTGGTGAAACATTCTGTATAAGAAATAAAAAATATGTTTAAATTCTGCATGTATATTTTGTAATATGTGTTGAATTTTGTTTTGACAAAAACATTTAATCACTCAGTTAACATGTTATATTCATTTATGGTAATGAATTTGAACTTATGATGTTAATAAGTTACTGTAAGTCACCGTAATCAAAGAGAAATTTATGTAGTATAGATGGCGCAGTATCTGTAGAATTAGTGATTTCTGGATAAATACATATCTATTCCATTCAAGGCAAACTCTTAAATACGCCACTAAATAATATTATGGTATTCAAAGGGGAAAATATTATGTTTTGCTATATTTTTGATGAGAAACATCTTTCGGCGCACTTAAGGGTTAAAATTGTCTATAACGTTACTTTAGATAGTGAAATACTTTTGAAATATGAGAGATATATCTAACCTCAACATTTTACTGTTAGATTATTAGCAGCGATTATACGCGTGCGTCCAATGTTTGTGCATTGTTTACTTGCGTCGAGGATGACATGTAATGTGTATGTTTAGATATAATATTATAGTCATATTGTAAACACATTAAGTATAGAGTGTATATTTTTTTTTTATATATTTTACTATTAAAATTATAATTTTAACATTATTGTCTATATTATGGTAGGTTAATTTAATTTTTTTTAAAACGTTTTATTTATTATTAGTAGTATTTATAGTTTTAAAGTTTTAAAATTAAGTATAAAACAACTGTTTATAACTTGACTTAAAAATAAAGAAGTTTATTGAACATAATATGAAGAGCTACATGAATTTAAATTCTGAGATTAATTTTTGTCCTAACGACCGAAGGAACACTTATACATTTAGTATTCGTTTTATAATTATTTAATATCAATTTTTAATTAATTGCAACTATTTCATTTTTTTTTATTTTTATCAATTGAATGGCCAAAACCTTTTTACTAGTCACAAGAATACACATACAATTAATAATAAAACATGGACAATTTAATTTAAAGGTAGAAGTTAAATCATTGTTTGAAGAAAACAACATTTACTCGTATAAAATAGGCAGACGACCCCAGTGATCCTATGGTATCTCATGAATTTAAAACGCACTATAACATTCTCATTTTATTATTTAGAATAGACCGTATTTAAAAACTAAACAAAAACTTTTTTGTGTGGTGTGCTCTTTTAAAACTACCTAATGTTAGTCCTAATTGAAATCTTTAACATTTTGTTATAACTGTGCCAGAAAATCGTTACCCAAGCAGTCAAAGAATTTTATAATTCTGTAAAATGGATAATCGCAGAAAATAAAATATTTTAGCTTGTAAAAAATGAAAAAAATGAAGTGAACAGAATAAATTACCTCCAAATTAAATAAAGTTTAATATTTGGTTATGGTATTGACTGGATAACGGTCACCACAGCTCTGCCATTAAAAATGTTTAAAAAAGATGCATGTACATTTTGTTGACTTAAAAACAGTAAATTTTAATCTTCAGGGTTACATGAGTAATAAGTAAATTTTATTGGTATGTGTTTCTAATCTTATAAAAAAAAATTAATTTCTTCAGTATTAAAAAAAAAAAAAAGTAGATATATTTACACATTTATTATGCATAATTTTCTACATTGTCAATAAATTGAATATAAATAATAAAAAAAAAAATGATTAAATTATAGTAAGTTAACGTTTATTCTTACTGGTCAAAAATAAATTATAGTGAAATGTATTCTTGTTTTTACTCACGTAAAATACCATATCGATGAAACCAACATTTGCAAACGAAAAAAGACTTAATTTAATAAATAAGTAATTCTATGTTATTTTTATAGAAAAAATGTGTTCATTTGCATAGGAGTAAATGCATACGTAAATGTATTCTAAAAGACACTATTAGAGAGTAATAATTATTTATAAAAATCAAATAATGGTTGAAGAGATACAATATGTGAAGAAAAAATTCACGCAAAAATTAAGCAATACTATAATGCAATGGAAAATATCTTTTCAGTAAATCAATAATAATTTAGCAAATGAAACTTATGTGTATCTATTCATCTTAAAAAAGTAATAATAACTAGCAATATTTATAAGTTATGAAAAAAACTTTATTCCAAGTACTTTAAAACAATATTATCATATCTCATGTTTGATATAACTTTAAGTATAGCTTAACCTAATATATAGGTAACTTTGATTCAACTTATTTTTTAACAGTTTTGTATTTATGGAAAATTTTTAATTACATAATTTGTATATTATTTTGTTACTTATATTTTTAATTGTTTTTAAAAAATCGAATGATCGCTGTTTCTTTGATCATTTAACCTTCAAACAAGTTTTATCATATTACCCTCGCCCAAGGTACTAATAGTTATTAAAACGCAATTATGAACTGTTAGATTTAGTGACCTGCAGTGTCTTAAAAAACAAATCGTTTATTACTTATTAGTTACTAATCTATACAGTTGCAAGTACAAAGGAGGATCCATGAACCATGATATAAGATACACTATCTTAATAATTTTAAAAGTTTAAATATAATCGTAACATTTTAACACAAAACAATAAAATTCCTTTTTTATTTATCAGATTCCTTGAAGCTGATGCTTTTTCAACATCCCATAGAACATTTAAACGGTATGTAAATTAGCTTTTATTTTATATCAACACTATAATATTATTTTATATTATTTATGAATAATACATAATGTAGTCAGCAGAAAATAAATTCAAATTAGTAATATTTATAAATTTGAACAAATAATATAATTGATATACATAATATATCAACAATTAAGCAATTCAGATATTTTTAATTAGACTCAGAATTTGAATAAAATTGAAAATTAAAAAAATTGTATCAATTCCATTATTAAATTATTAATTATACTCGACTATTCCTGTAAAATTTAACTATACAAAAGAACAAAGCTAAAACCTCTTATCTTTTTAAGTAGATATGAAAAATATTGCAATAAAAATACGGTTATTCATATCGTGCGATCATTATCTACTATATTGTAACCATTTAATTTGAAAATATTTACTCATGAATTATTTTTATGATCGTCAAATTTTTTAGATACTTCCAATAAAAACTTAATAAATTGATTCAGGATCGTTTTTCAAAATATGCAGTAATTTATGAGGGATACGTGACGAGGGTCGAACATCTGGTCTCCATATTATGCGCGACTGTTTATTATTATACATTTTACTATACTTTTTATTCATAAATCTAATTGATAATTTTATTCTAATATATATAATGTATTTATGACTATTGTCTATAGTATAGTATACCTATGACATACAGCAACAAATCCCAATCTAGAAGTTTTAATTATTGTAATATTCTATTGTACTTTTATGATTATATTTATAGTATCTTAGCTTATCATTCATCCGAGTCAAATAACATTTGTAAATACCACCATTTGAAAAATTATATCTCCTGATCAAAAACAATAATTATTATTATACAGGCACCTAATTTAGTGTATTCATAATGGACAATTTTAGTTTGAAATTAATCTCTTAAACATTAATCTCGTAACTTAAGATAATAACTTATAATTAATTTACCGAAAATATGCGTAACACTTTAACTTCCACTTATATAGTGATTTTGTAACAATATTTTAATATTATAAAAACGTTTTAAACTTTTAACACAATTATATCTAATAAATACTTTACTTGTTATGTATTAGTTATTAAAGGATTTATTTTGGTCATTGCGGTTATCTAAAATATATCTATGACCATAAATTATATTAATTATTTATAATTTAAATTTTAAAAAATTTAACATAATTAACATGTTCTTAAAACTATATAAATCACAAAGATAACTTTAATAAAATAAATATTTTATACAAAAATAATCATTATTTTTTTATTGTGTAACATAGCAAATGTAAGCTAAATAAAAATTATTATTTATATAATATAATAGACAATTGTATTTTCATAGATTTGGTTATTACTCTAGAATTTTATAAAGTTAAACTACGATTTTATTTATTAATTTAATTTGTAATAAATCGTTAAGATAATTTTCGTTGATCACTTTTATGACTAATGATAAATAATAATATACTTGCTGAAAAATGTTTTTCCACTTCTTAGATTTAAAAAAATAAGTATTTGCTTGATGAAAATGATTTGATTTATCTTGTGTGCGTAAATTATAATCAAATAAATTAAATCCTACAAATTTCATGACAGAAAATAAGTTTATATTTGCTAATAATTATAATTTGTATAATATTATTGTTTTAGTACATAATAAACAAACATCAATGTCATGCGTTATTTTACAGGATATATGAATTGTGAACTTGAAAATAATCCTGTTTTGATGAGAGTAAAAGTTACTAACACGACTCGAGCCAATAAAACGAGTTTAATTGACAATCGCGTTCTCTAGACTTGTTTTGTATCTATGCTATTTCCGTTTGTCAATACGTTGTATGTGAACCACAACGCATATCAGTCGTAATGACAACACGAACCAGTCGTGACAGCTTCACAAACTTGTCCTGCGGTCCGTGAAAATCTCAACATAATATATCACGTATATCAATAAAGCTAAACATCAGATCAAAGCTCAGTGTTGTACGCTAGCTTTATAAATTCAATGTAGAATAGAGACGTTTATGAACGATCAAATATGCATTTCTACGTCTCATCATTTCCGTCTGTGGCTTGTATAATAGTTTTGGTTTTACATCTGTCATGTTTTACGAAAAATATTTCGGCAACGGAGTTAATATTTTCTACAAAGTTTAACAGAAATACCGATTTATCTGCAACAATTATACCAGGTGGTATAACACTCCCCGAGCTGCCATTCGGACATGACCAAACCAAAGGGAACAAAACCGAATTACAATCAAAAGTTCCATTCAATCTGGAAGTAGAGCCGATAATTGAAAAATTACCTACAACAGAAGTCTTAGCGAAAGTGGATGGTGAACTGGCTATCGGAAAATTTCC